GTTTCCTCTCTCCTGTGCTAATACACACTGCAGAATAAATCAGCATTACTGAGCGGAGCAGCCTCGTCAGCACTCTGCTGTCGCCCCTGGCACGCTCCATGCAAGTCTGATGTTCCTGATGAAAATTATTCCTCTTTTCACTTGAATCGTTATGTGCTGCTATGATGTTTTACCCCTCGTGTGCTAGATGAGCACTTCACTTAATAAAATTCTTCTTGAATTACAAGAGACGATGTGAGAAGATAACAAGTGTCCAACTACATTTTCAAAGTGAAGATTCATGTCGTGTAGCGCACACATGGGCCCCCACTTTTTCCACCAGCATGGAATGAGTTTTGGTTCGCACATTGCAACCAAAAATAAATTGGTACTGAACAGAAAATTTGGTTGCCAGCAAGAACTTGGCCGGAAGTACGAACCAATTTGACATCAGTGGATGTGTCATATTCCACAAGTTGGAAAGAGGATGGAGTCTTGCATGTTACAGTCCCCCACACAGTCCGTCTGTGTTTGTTTTTGGATAAAAACAAATATCTGTAATAACAGAACAACAGCTCTCAGGTAATCAGTGTTGTCTGCTATCTTGCTACTGCTCAAAAATTGAGCATAGCATTAGTTCAGGCAGGACATGATGTCAAGCTCAGCTCACATCCCAGCTACATCAGCTGATCTCAAACAGCCCAATCAACTGATGGAGCAGCTGATTGATGGAAGGAAGTCAGCTGATCTCATTTAGGGCACCCTCTTTAAACTGCTCTGGCCTGCCCACTGTTGCTGCTTCCTCTGCAAGCTGTTTTGCAACCTGCCTCCACCCCAGCTCCTCCTTTTCTTTTTCTCCTCTGACTTATCAATGTCATTTCTGTTTGTCATTGATGCTGCTCTGTTCTGTTCCTGGGGGTCTTTGCTGCTGCTCTCCCTGCCTTGGGCTTTCAATGTAGACACATGGAAGGGCAGAGAGGTGTGCTCTCTCCGCCTTAGGCTTTTCACATAGGCGTATGAAAGACGCTTTCTGCGTAGGCCTGAGGAAGGGCAGAGGGGCCCCAGAGCAGAGCCATACCGCCAAATATAATACTGCAAATGAAAATAAAGTTTTCTTTGACTAAAGTGGTCCTGACTGAACAGGTGGAAACACAGGCTGGTTCACTGTAACACAGAGGTTCCAAGAATCCTGAATGAAACCGGAGTACCGAAGCTAATTTGATGTAACAGGGGTAATAAACATTCTTTAAAGGAAAATATGACTTTAGGGAAATGCATCTTAATTACAGAGACTAAGATAAAAAGATTGATCCCGCTGTTGTGTATGAATCCCACTGTTCAAATATGAAGCAAGAACCAGTAGAGAGCTGAGTTTAGTATAAAGACTAGAAGAAAGAGAAAACCAATGACCTAGATAAAAGCACTAACCAACTGTGAAACCACAACTTTGTTTGTTTTAGAGTTATGTTTTTTAAGCATTTAACAGACAAGATGTAAGGTGTTTATGTAAGAGGTGCTGGAAGGCAGATTTGTTACCTTAAGACAGAGCCAGCTTTCTATTTACTGCTGAGGTATCAATCTTCTCATCTAACTCTTGACAAGAAAAATTAATATTAATATATATAACATATATAACATATTCCCAAATGTCAAATTATGTCTTCAAGAAAAAAGTACAATCCATATAGTCTACGATCAAACCCAAACTTTTACACTTGGTCTTTTTTTAATGGATTAACCAAAGTGTTGATTAATGAGCTTTAGAGGTGTCGGTAAACAGGTTTTGCTAGTGTAGAGTCAAAATGAATGTGAAACTACAAATAATGGGAACATGCGACCAGTGTATCACCAGTAACCGTGAGTTCCACAGAGTCTCACTTTAACTGAAATGAAAGTCTATATATATTACATGACTATACATGGTCAGAGCTAGGCTAGCTGTTTCCCCCTGTTCCCAGTCTCTAGGCTAAGCTAAGCTAAAGGTCTCTAGGTGGTAGCTTTAGAACAACATGAGAGTAGGCCTACTATCAATCCATGTATTTAGTCTCATGAAGAGTTAAAAGCCACTCGCACCAAAATGCTTGCCTAAAAAATACACACAAGCTTTAAAACCTTCATGATTCTTACTGACATGATCTAGATAAGTATGTGTTCAGTATCATAAAAAACTAATTTTTCTGTCAGCAGAAGTGACAAAACGCCCGACTTTCATGTACTTCTGTCGCAGCTAATGCTGGGGAATTGAGATATTTTGTCAATAAACTCAGCATATGCGTTAAAAGAGAAAACTTCAAAATCTCCAGCCAAAGGGAGTTACAGCTTTAAGCTTTTATCACAGTTAAACTCTCATGGCCAAAAAAAAAAAAGGACTGCCGACAGTCTGTGGAGAACGAGCTCTGTGCTGCCAGCAAGTCCAGATGATTAGCTGGAGCTCTATGAATAATTCAGTTTAATCTAATTTAAAAATATGTGTTGAATGTGACTTGCATGACTGTCCATAAACCAGTTTGTCGTCTCAGTTCTGCCTCATCATGCCGTTCCACAAACCGCCTGTTTCAACATGCAAAAATATTTGGTGTTTGCGTCTCAATCAGCTCTGTCACTTGTGAAGAAATTGCTCAACTTGTTGTCACATATTCAACAAATTAGGTAGTGTTTAGTGGGTTTTGTGCAACATTTCCATCTTCCAGCTGAAAGGCAGAGAGCAGGCTCTTATCTAGATTTTAACGGGACCTACTCAAGCTCATTGTTGTAGATCATGCACTGGCTCCATGTTCCTGTCATGTAAGGTTTCACATTCATTTTGACACATGTCTCTCAGGCTGATTGATACGGGCTGAGTCAATAGTGTTATAAATGGATTGTGTTTAGATAACATTTGTCTGCCTCAGCAGAGAGAGTTCATTCACACATTGATGGCAGAGAAGCCCTTGCACCTTGCAGTTCAGTGTCTTCATCACCTTACTGCCAACCTTACATTTGACGGACCACCCGTTTTAGGCTCCCCCCCTGAGTTACGGTCACCCAGGGTTCATGCTGTTGCCTTGGGTTTTGTGATTAACGTCTTTTTTCTTTCATTTTCATACACGGTTTATTCTGTTTACTATGATTCTCTACAGTTATGCCTTTAAATGCACATTGAGTTCTGTTTATAATCCACATTACTTTGTGTGTAATCTCGCACAACCTGCATTTTGAGATAACTTTAATATAGTGACATAATGTGCAAAACAGAAGAAGTCTGGCTGCAATACTTCCTTTAATTGTGGGTGTTGTGTTTTTTTTGTGTGTTTCAGAGGCAGCTGTTTGGCATTGAGGCCCCAACTTCTGTGGAACTAACTGGTTGGAGGAAATACTTTAATAGCTACAGTCTGCAGGGTCGCAGAAATGTAATGTACACACACACGCACAAGCACAGGCTCCATTTTATATGAACAATATTTTAACATAAGCCACAAAATGAACACTTGTAAATCAGTCAAGCCTTGCTACTGCATATTAAATATGTGAAGAAAACTTTGCATGCCTCCATGAAAAAGATGAACATATTGATTTATTGGAGACAAAGTTTGACAACAGCAAAACTACATCACAACATCAACTACATCGTTTAAAAACTCTCACACAACTTGTGCAATATAACGTAAGTCTCATTTATATTTTCCACACACGTGCATTTTTACTTAGTATTGCAGTGTGGCTTTGACGAGCATAGATCAGTTTCACTTTCAGTTCATTTTTCGCTGTAATGTTTTACCAAAAATGCATGTGTTTAGTAAGAACTGAGCCTGTTCCTTCAGGTCCCCTCAGCCTGAAGCATGTTCTCTGCTCTCTTACAGTGTGTCCTGGCTACTTATGGGATCCTGGTTGTGACAGCAGCAGCCTACTGGATGCACAGACAGAACAAAAAAGACGACCAGTCATCCAGAACCACAGCCTGAATCATCGACCTCTCATACAGTGATGTTTAAATTCTAATGATTCATTATGGAGTGAAGAAAGAGAAGGAAATGACAAACCACTACCCCTGAATGTGAGAACGATGGAAATCTACCATGTTAATAAATGCTTTGTAAATGTTTGACACTCTCTGATCATTATGCAGTGACATTATAAGAAGTCACACTGGTTGCCATGGCATCACTGTGAGTGCAGTAAAATTGTTTACCCACAAGGTGTCCATCTGCTGCTGAAGAAACTGCAACCAAACCACTACTTTACTTTTTGTTTATTTTTATGTATCATTTTATTACCCAAATTAAACCTCAATTTAAATGTTATTAAGAATTAATGCAATAACAAAAACCATACATTTTGTACGGCTGAAAAAGATGACAATTTGCTTCACAGAGAACGCCCACTCTGGGTTTCAGAGCGTCTGCAAGCAATTAAAATTAGGCCTTTCAATTTTTACAGTTTGAATATTTTATTCATTGAACCAAGATTGTGTCTGAGCTTGTAAACATTGTTTAATTTATTGTCTTTTGTGTGGTTTTTGCACCTTTTATTTGCCTTTCTTGGGGAAAAAAACAAATAATGACTAAGCTAAAACATTTGCATTCATAAGGAAAACACATAAAAACCCTTTAATCTTGCATATTGAATGTATTTAGCATTTAATCGTTTAAACCATGCAAGAGCTAAAACACACAGTATTTAACCTCACACAGACATTTGCTTGTCAAGAAATTGCCCAATTTGGTATCACAGTTTGTTTTTTTCAGCGTGTGTTGTCTTCCTGAGAAGCATTTAGGTAATAATTAGATTCATTAGAAGTCAGTTATTGATGGTTCACTGTGTTTGACACGCTGTACACGTTCCTGTCATTGATTGTTTCACATTCATTTTGACTGTAAGGAGTGTTTTGCATAGTTCTGCCATTACTGAGCATGCAGCAGGTTAATTGCAAGGACACCCTGTAGGCTACACGTGCACATTCACTGCATCTTAACTGTGCAATTATTTATGCACTTTTGGGTCAAAGAAGAGGGAAAGTGTTGCAAAAAAAAAGGCCACACACACAAAAATGCACACGCACTGCCGGCACATCACGTGATTTAAAATAATCGGCTGGTCGAAACGAAAGCAAACTGCATGAGTGAAAGCGAAAGTAACACCCGGAGCACCTGAATGTGTCTTTATGTGAGTGAGTGTGTGTGTGTGTGTCTTAATGAACGGATCCTTCGCGGTGATAGATTATTGTTGCCACAGCCGAACATACAATCAGGCTGTTTTAAAACGAGCGGCCCCGCCTTCATCATAATACGACCTGTAACCGAAAGTAAGATGTTTCTTGTGCGTGAGAGCTGCGAGCTGCGGCGGGGAAGAAGCTAAGAGAAGCTGCGATTGACAGTTACTGCAAGTAAGTGGGCTTTGTGTTTCATAATGCATAGGCTGTTTAGGGACAAATGTTGCTGCTTTATTCATCTGAGCGCAACAGGTACTGAACTACAACCCAGAAATGGGACGCTTTCACTGTATTTAACTCAAACTAGGCCTGAATTTAGTTATTAAAAAGAAGCAGATTGAGTTATGACTATATAGATATATCTCCCTGTGACATTCACTCATATTTTTTAAACCACAGCAATCCCAGTGTCACAAACTTGTCACAACACCTGTATTGAAATTCCACAATGTGTAAAATAACAGTAAAATACACTTTAATAGTGACAGATTTATTTCTATAGGTGTTTTCACATTTTTTTCTGTGCTGTTTCATTATTTTCTTGATTATTTTGCAGCTCTTTAATGAAAGTTTGGACACACTGTCACACACTGAATTTAATGTTTCTGGATCTCAGCTGAAACAGTCATAGTGGCTGACAGCTTTAAATTTCAGGGTGCTTACAGCCATGTCACTGGGTCAAAAGCACCAGTGTCACAGTCAAGTCCATTCACCGCTGCACTGCAACTTAAGTGGCTGTTAAAACAAACAAGCACAAAAACAGTACACTTTCAGATTCCTTGTACTCATTCTTTCAAATCCAGTGTAATGAAATACAGGACTTTAACAATAGAAAATATCCTGTTACAATAACGACAGGCTGCACTGTGTGATATTGTGAGCTGAGGAAAAAACACATCCCGGTGTTGCACAACTTACTGTAAACTAATTAGAGTGTGACGCAGCCTTTCTCTTCCTAAAAAGATGATCAATGAGGTTTACAAGATTAGGGAAGTAAAATGTCTGGAGCAGCAGCGAGATTACAACTCAGTGTGATAAGTACATGCACGCTGCACAGTTTGAACGAAGAAATAAAGCAAAAAAAAAAAGTGAATATTACAGTTTTAAAAGAGGGAAAATACAAAGAGTGACAGAAAGAACAGCAAGAAAATGTTTTTGAAGCAATATATCTTTTCATATTTGGGTTTGTTAACATGTAAAGCACTATAATGTTGATAATGAATAATATATTGAGTATTAAACTTTATTTTTTTAGCACTTTTCTCTTAGTAAAAGTTGTAAAGGGCTTTAAAACAAAAGCAAAATGTTACAAAAAAGAGACAACAAACTTTACTTATATCCTGATATACTTATTCTGCTTAGAAAGTCTAGACCTACTTCTTACAAAGTTGTATTTGTATTTTAAGTCTGCTGCTTTTATCTTTTATTTCAAGGCACTTTGTGACTCTGCTCTGGAAAAGGAGTGTTATAATTAAATCTTCCTTACTTTTAATTAAAAACTACAGTGTCGACATATAAACATGCTGGAATATTTTTACACCAAAGACTTTGTAGAGCGACACAGAGAAAATCCACAGATTTTTTTTTTCTTTTTTTTTTTTTTTTTTGTTGCTTGACGGAGAAAGCGAAAGCTTTTTTCTTTTGCTGTCATTATCTTTGTTACATCCGCCCTTCCCAGTGATTGATGATACACAAACATGTGGTTTATTGTCAGCCACATGACCTGATTCGGCACCAGGCACACACACACACACACACACACACACACACACACACACACACACTGGATTGATGTGTTGCAATAGTTTGCAGTAAAACAATATTTGATATTTTTATGATAATCAGTGGCAATGTGAAAGTAGTAGCTTGTAGTGATGAGTCTACAGAGATTTATCAGGTGAATCTGCTGCTCCCCTCTGCTTTATGGAGCTTTGCATCAAGTTTCACTTCATTGTTTTTCTGTCCGGCTGCAACTTAACTGTTTAGTTTCACTGTCACTGTTCACATAGTGTTATTTCAGCCTCAGCAGGCAGCTGTATTTAGCAAAAAACTCCTCTGCACCCTGCAGCTCAGTGTCAAGCAGCAGCTGATGGATGTAGTGGAGAATTCAGCAGTGAAAGAGACAGATATTTCCCTCAGGAGTTGGTGGAGACCAAAACAGAGGTGAAAGAGAGTGAATGCACAGCTTACCAGAGGTGGGACCAAGTGATTGTGTTGCAAGTCACAACTAAGTCTCAATTTTTTTGCACTTAAGTCCTGAAGGCCCAGACACACCAAACTGACCTCAGAGAACTAGCGGTGGTGAAGGCCTCCTGCTGTGTGGCATGTCTTGGCCCAAAAAGTTGCACATGAACACACCACGAAGACTGCAGCTGACGGTCAACTAGCATGTACACTCTGCACTCGTGTGAGAGGAAATAACTCTCCACACTAGGCGGCAGTTGTCTACAGTCGTAATTTAAAAAGGGAAAACGGATACTAATGAGCCTAGCGTCTTTCAACATTGGATTGTGTGGTTAATATGTTAACATATTAACCACACAATCCAATGGTGAAAGAACAGAGTTTATTACTGTGCGCCACTGAACAATAACACAAACCATCAGAAAATTACATAAATAAAGTAAGTAAATAAAATACAAGGTTTTTTTGGTCTCACTCCCTCTGACTTTAGCTTGTTTGTTTACTTGCCTCACTTCTGTTTCTCTTCTCGTGCGCTGAGTTAAACTGCCAATTAGAGTGATTTCATCCCCAGATGAGCTGCACTGTCAAATCGGCATAAAAAAGCTGATGAGGGGCGACAAGAGGCAACAGTGTGGGACACACCGTATAAACAAGAGCAACAGACACTCACCAACGGCCCAACTTAACGGCTGACCGTGTCGAGGCCTTAAGTGAAATCTCAGCTCAAGACAGACAAATCCCAAGTCCTGAACCTCTAAGTTTCGAGTCCAAAACAAGTCACAATGTGCTCCTCACCAAATATAAAAAGCATTTTAATAATATAATATAATTAATAATAAGTAGTAACATATTTAAATGACAGAAATCACAAATGCTTATTAAAATTTGTTTTGATTTGTTAAAACAAGTTTGTTGGAAGTTGTTGCGTCTTCGTAACTTTCGACCCGCGCATTTTGCACACTGCAATTCATTTTTTTTATCATCATGTAGCTTTTATATGTGAACAAAATTATCTTTGGTATAACTTTTTCCCAGATGGCACTAAATAGCTTAACGATAGCTCATCATGGTTCTCTCCTGCAACTTGATTAGATGCTGTCCAATTGGTTCAAACAAAGTGGATCTGAGGAATTATGTTTTCTGTTAATTAGTTCTTAACACATTTTTTAAAATCACATACTTTTTATTCTTTGGGCTTGGGGGAAGGTATCAAGGATTTTCAAAAAGCTCAAGTCCAAGTGAAGTGAGTCACTGTTGTTAAAGTCCAAGTAGAGTTACAAGTATTTTTTGGTTCTGACTTGAGTTCCCACATCTGTGTCTCACATTTATCAGGTGGACACAAACACAGCCCTTAATTACCTTGTAATTGCTGGGTGTGTGTAAACAAGCTTGTCATCATTGAAAAGGTGATGATATGTCAATGCTGTGTTCACAACTGATTTCTGCTGACAGCAAAAAGCCAAAAAAATAACCCGAGTTATAGCAGGTTTGAGCTGATGAGAAATACAGTGAGGTGCAATAAAAGATTTTGACTGCGATTGTTCATTTTTCTGTTTCAGCTCATCTGATTGTTCAGCGACAGTCCTTCAAGGACAGATGACAAAGCCAATCCAGCCTCTGCTCTTCTCCACAAGTTTCTGATGATGCTGATAAATATCGATTAAAATCTCAAGCTGTTGTTTAAAGCAACATGGAAAGACGACAGGGTGTCAGATGAGCGACCAGGAAGGAGTGAGTGATGGAGATTCTGCCTGTGAAAAGTGGAGGAACTGGTGCAGCAGGCAGTCAAGACGGGGATTCTCCTTTGTAGGATGGTCAGAGACAATCTTGATAGAACAGTAGTACAGAGCAGAAAACAGAACCACACAGCTGACTCACAGAACCAAAGTCAACCCCCCGAGGAACCCGTGGGACCAAAGCGAGCACAGAGCCCAGAGAGAGTTCAACCAGAGAGCCAAGAGGAGACAGGCAGGCAGCTAGATCTACTGTGCTGGAAAAAACTCAACTTACAGAAAGATCCTGAAACCTGGTGCCAGGTTAGTGCTCAGCATTTACTCAGGGAGAATCACAGTTTGTGGATTTTATTGCTTTGGGATATAGATTTTTAAACAATGCACAGATGGCTGGAGAGAGATAAAGTCAGAAATCAAACACCAGGATTTTATACTTAAATGTTACATCCAACGGTGGAAGAAGTGCTCTGATCCTTTACTAAAAATAACAGTGCAACACTGTAAAAAGACTTCTACAGATGGAAGTCTTGCATTCACAGTTTTACTGACGTTAAAATATTAGCATCAAAATACACAAAATGATCATTTGTATATCAGTGAGTCATGCTGTGCTACATTGAATTCATAAACAAAACTTTGCTTTTCTCCTCAGAAACCAGCAAACATAGTGATTTATTGATTGTTTGGGGACCATGTTAACATCAGCAAAGCTATATCCAAACAGTCAGTCATGATCAGTTTACAAACTCTCACACAACTCGTGCTGTGTAATCCAAGTATATATATATATATATATACTCCGGCTTCCTCCCACAGTCCAAAGACATGCAGATTGGGGACTAGGTTAATTGATAACTCTAAATTGTCCGTAGGTGTGAATGTGAGCATGAATAGTTGTTTGTCTCTATGTGCCGACCTGTCCAGGGTGTACCCTGCCTCTCGCCGGATGTCAGCTGGGATAGGCTCCAGCCCCCCCGCGACCCTCAAGAGGATGAAGCGGTTAGAAGATGAATGAATGAATATGTATTGGAGTCTGGCTTTGAAGAGCGCATAGATAAGTTTTACTTTCAGTTCAGTGTTAAATCGTAATGTTGTAGTTGTTAAACGTGGTTCAAAGTCAGACAATAAATCAATATATGTGACATACCAAAAGTAAACTACTCGTTGTGCAGAATGACCCATTACAGAATAACATCACTGGATTATGATTATTGAAGCATTATGTGTACAACACTTTAATGTTGCAGCTGGTAAAGGTGGAGCTAACTGTATATACTATTGGTTCATTGGTAGGATATCTTATTTTATAATAACATTATAATTCATTTCTATGCAACATCTGAATCTGCAAAGTAAAAAAAAGTATACAATTTCCCTCTGAATTATAGTGAAGACGAAACCACAAGTACCTCAAAATTGTACATAAGTACAGTACTTGAGTAAATTTATTTTAGTTGAAAACATGCCAACACATATACCTTTTTTTCAATTTGAAAACAGTTTTAAAAAACATTGTTATGAGACGATTCATCACGTTATTGGTGACAATTAACAGACTTTCCACATTTGAGCTGAGCACATGTAGGTTTTTATTACAGCCGAACACTATACAACAACATGAACCACAACAAATTTATAGTATTCATTTGTTATTATGCATGTGCAGCAAGTCTATATAATGATAATGTAATAATAATTATTATTTGAAGAAGGAAAAAAACGAAAAATTAACCACAAACATGTAATACAGTTGTTGTACAAAGTTTTTGTATTGCTGCAAAAACAGAACAAGATGTTTCTACCATGTTGAGAAAGATAAAACTCATTGTTGTTTATGATAAATATTGACCGTCCGTATCAGTATGAATGCAGTTTCTGCATCAAATCTCTATTCAATACTCAGGAGAAAACAAACTGAGTTTCTCACACAAACACACACACACAAATCTCGGTGGTTATCACTGCGTCCCTGTTTGGACACTCAACACAACTTGAAAAAGTCAATTATCTGAGTTTATCTTTGGACTTTGAATGTTGGCAGAGAAACTTTTCAGCTTCTTTTTTCCTGACAAATCTGACAGTCTGAGCACAGCACAGCATTGAAAACACTGTACAGAGCATTTTTATTTTCAGTACTAGTATTTATTTTCTTTTTCTTCTTTTTAAATTTAGGGCTGTCAATGTTAACACGTTAATAATGAGTTAACCCAAATTCCCATTAACGCAACTGATTGGATTGAGGCATGAGTAACGCATGTACCTTCTGTTATTATGACCCCCGGCCCACCCTGTAGTTTGGGAAATCAGGAAGCGATGCAGCAGTAATGTTATGGATGGCAAGCAAAAACAAACCTCCGTAAAGAAAGTCATCTTTTGAATTGCAAGTTCAGCTTCAAAGCCTTGCCAAATGGTTCTCTCAACAAGACCAGAGTTATCTGCATTTATTGTAAATTTAGTTGCCACCAGAGTCGTCAAGCTGCTTAAAAAGTTTAGCTGACCTTTAAAAGTGTAAAGTTGGACACTACATTGTGTTAGTGTTACTAAGTAATGTTACATTCAGGTCAATATGTCCATCTGTTGTTGCTTGTTGGGCTCGAGTTTGCCATGGTATGCTCGCAGCATATTTTTTGAGCTTGCAGAACCTTTGAGGTTACTATGGAGAATATTATGGATGGTATTTGTCTCTGTCTTTGTTTTGGATTGTTACAATAATAATAAGCGTACATTTGCATAAAGCAAGCATATTTGTCCACTCCTATGTTGAAAAATATCCCTTTAAGGTAAATTTAGAACAGATAAAAAATGTATGATTAATTTGTGATTAATCTGGAGTTAACTATGGACAATAGTGCGATTAATCGTGATTGAATATTTTAATCGATTGACAACCTTATTATTATTACTTATACAGTATAGAAGGGATATTCAACTCTGCCTGAGGGTCACTTTTGCAAAATAACAGGAGGCCAGGGGCCAGTTTTCAGGATTCAAGGACATTAAGGGCTCATCCTGGACCTCTGCTGAGGGGTCAAGGGGATTCTCTCCTGACACTTTTTTTTTAACAACAAGCTCTTTTTTGATGCTTCTTTATGCACTATGGCACTTTATTTACAATCCAAGCACAAAAAAATCCTGGCACGGTAAATCAATTTATTTTCATTGTGAATTAGAAAATGGTCATTAGGCCTCTCAGCACCCTCTTGTGAGCCAGATTTGGCCCACAGGCTGCAAGTTGAGTATCACTGCAGCAGAGCATCTCTCAAAATAATTCAAATACTAAATTATATATTTAAAAGAACTGTGGCAGGATAACAAAACCTTTTTAAACTAGGAAAATATAGGTTTTGTTAATTCACAGACTACTTAAAATAATTTAATTTAGTGTAGCTGTACTCTCTCGTCTGTGACTGATGTACATCTTCTTAAGAGACTTGTAAATAAATGTTACCCACACAAACTGATTTTGCCAAAACTTTATTTATATATGTACATATTACTTATTTCCAATACCTTCCCTGTTGTAGCTATTCAGTGGAGCCGATGTTGAGAGCTTGCCCACACACCTCCGTCCATTCAGCAGCGCAGCAGAGTACAGACTAGTGAAACGCACGTACCAGCAGCTGCAACACAGTGGTTACTACTGGGGATCAATGACCATGGAGGAGGCACATGAAATACTCACACAGGCACCACTGGGCACCTTCCTCATCAGGTAATCCACCTCTTTGATTTGAAGGTTTTATTGTTGTTTTATCTGTTCGACGGATGTTGTTTTTGTCTGCAACCTTTTATGCAGTTCTCTTGCAGTTTTGGCCGATACCGATACCGATCCGATCCAAGCGCGTATTATACATATTCACTTATTTTGTTGTCAGTCATGTTAGAAAAGGTTTGATCAAGCAATATTACTCTAACAAGAACAACTACTTAATCAGGTTAGTTAGAATGATCCACAACAGTTAGTATGAGAAACTGACCTGTTTATTGTTAACAGGGTTAAATAAACAAACTTTAAACTTGAACATTAACATTAAATAAAAAAAAAATAGCTGGTTTGCTTTGGCTGCTTTGGCCCCTTAATAAATAGAAAATAAATCAACACAAGAAATCTTTAAAATGTCTAACACTGAAATTAAAATAGCAGCAAGACTCAACACACTTGTGCTTTGAACCCCTAATAAATAAAAAATAGATTAACACCACAAGACATTGTTGACATTTAATAAACAATGCAGCCTTTCCTTTTCAGTTATTTTAGTAGTGTCAGTGCCAGCCTGGTGCACAGGCACACAATATTGTACAACTGTTTAAACAAGAAATAATCCATCCATGGCTCCAATTTCACTAATTGTGCCCAAAACAATGCCATCAGTGCTCTTTACTTAAACAGTAAGAGTGTAAACCAAATAAAAATATCACTCTCAAAGAAACAGAGCAGAAAACAAATAGTCAGTTAACTAAATTGACCGCTACTCTTCCTACCCTTCCCTCCGTGTGTGTCTGCCGCATGGTCTGCCGTCTGCATGCTGGCCTGGTGGATTGATAGTAAGAGCTGGAGCGGATCACTGGAATGGACTGCTTGACTCGCGGAGCGCTGGGCTGGCCAGAAAACCTGGAGCGGATTCTCTGAAAAACTGGATCGGAGTTCTTGGATCGGCATTTTTCCATGCAGTCCGATCCGATGCCGATGCCCGTTTTTTGCTAATATCGGCGGCCGATACCGATCCGAATATCGGATCAGGACATCCCTACTTATTTATGATGTAAAATAGGTATACCTTGAATATGACTTGCAGTTACATTCATGACAATGTTTAAAAAAAATGTGTTTTGTGAACAGCTAAGTCTGATTATACCATAATCTATATGTCCACTAATACTGGAAGGGTATGGGATATTGTTTATTTGATTTTAATGTCCCTATTTTTCCTGCTCAAATTCTCAAAATGTCAAAATTGGATAAGCATATGTATATATTGTCATCCTGTATTATATTTCTCTACTGCATGCCCAATAAAAAGTGTTACACAAGAAAATAAACCTCTGTAAGTGTTCACAGACTGACTGTATATATGCTGCTGCGTCTTTTCAGAGACAGCGGCCAGCCGGATGTTTTCTTCACGCTGAGTTACCAAAGTGACGAAGGCCCGACAAGTGTTCGTGTCCAGCTGAACAACCTGCTCTTCAGTCTGTATGGCAGCCACAGGACTTTTGCTTCACTCTTTGCTCTGCTCACGTATTACACCAGCTCATCCTGTAAGCTGACGGTGCCCTATCGCAAGCAGCGTCCGGAGCGCCTGAAGCAGATGTGCAGGAGGGCTCTAATACACGCACACGGAGCAGAGAGCATAAGCACCTTACCTGGACTCAGCACTCAAGTTAAAGACTATGTTCATGCGTATCCTTGTTGTATATAGACACGTGTGGGCAGAGTGCCTGTCGATGTATCAAGATGTTGTTTTTGTTGTAAGTTAAGCAAATATTCTGTATTTGTGTTATTTACACATGATCTGCAAGTTGTTCAATGGTTGTTTGCACACATTATCACAATGTTTTACAGTGTTTATGGTACATATTATCATTTTTTTAAATTAATAACATATTCTGTGTAACTGCTGCACCACTTCTCCATCATAAATATCAGTCGTAACGTCCATGAAGATGTAACATTTGCTGCTGTTTAAAGCTGCATTTATTGATGTTTGGCCACCAGGGGGCAAAAAAAACATCAAAACATGCTGACATATCACCACTTTGTCATATGCCTGTGAGACCCGAGTGTTTTTTGGTGTGCATTTTTAATTTCTCCTAGCTATTTTGGATTAGTGCAACCTGACAAGTAGAAAAAAAATCTAGCTTTTGTCTTTGATCTGAAAATAGTTTGGGAAAAAAAAAGATGTGACCAGTTGTCCCCATTTAAGAAACTGAATGTGGGGACAGTGGGTTTATTCTTAATCATCACAGTGTGGAATGAAGTGTAAAACTATTTATTTAAGTGCCTGAATATTGCTGTGCAAAAACAAAAATAACAAGCAATGTAGTATATCTGAAAGCCTTTTGAAGTGCTCGTTTTGTAGCTCTGTATGAATTTCCTGTGCTCCATACTTCAATCTAGGAATGTCTTTTCATCTGTAGCAACAGTCTGTCACACCATATCGGCCTGTGTGGTATACTGCCATAATACAATAATAAACTCCCAGTGTCATCAAACAAATACTTTTTAATTTACAGCGTTGTAGCTTGTTGTTAAAATTGGTCAGATTTGTATAACAAATAAAGCACAATAAACAAGTGAAAGGGACACTTTGCTGATTTTCAACAAGCTCTGTACCATAACAGTGTGGGTAGTTTGTGTAAATGAACTGTGGTAAACTTCCCTCCATTTTACCAGTGCCCAGATCTCCCTGCTCATCTCTCAGCTCAAACTTTTCACTGGTTCTAACTCAAACTACAAATTGTACTTCTTCATTTTTGTAGACTCGACACCACAGACACAGAGTATACAAGCGGATCGAGAGAGAAATCTGCCTCTCTCTTTCTCATCGTCTCAAATTCAGACAAAACTGTAAAACTGGGTAGTGCTGGTCAAATAAAACCCAAGATTCTGTTACTCTATTGCCTATTATCTGCCTTAAATGTCTTCAGAAACATATTTTAGTGCACTGTTTGGCAGTAATATGAGTATTTTATGAACAGGAAGTGGGTTCCATACTGTTTCCTGTATTGTAAAAAACAAAGGCTGAAAAGGTTTCCTATTTCGCTCCTAAAATGTTTCGAGAAATATATTTCATCTCACTGTTTAACTATAATTGGAGATCATTTGTTACCAGCCAGCCGCCATATTGTTTTCTGTGGAAATAGAGCCAAGCTTGCATCATGTTACTCATCAGCGGGAGCATTTATTGATCACACACAGCGCAATGCATTCTGGTAGTTGTAGGTTTTCAACCTCTTGAGCTAAAGCAAATGCCACAGTCCTTTTTCTCTGTTTTCTCTATAAAGCAACAATGTCAGAAGTATTTGTGTCTTTCTACTGCATAGACAGCTTAGTTTTAGGAGAAGACCATCTTTCCAGCAGATTATGTGGATTACAAGCTATGTAGACTACGAGCTCTTATTTTGTGATCATTTTAGGAAAACAACCTGTTGCTTTCTCATTAACATGAGGTATTTGTCCAATTATCGAGAGAAAACGACCTATTGTTTTCCAAGATAATGAGGTAATTGACCCACTATGACCAGAAAATGTCTCTTTTGTCCGGAAACAATAGATAATTAACTTAGGATCTCGAGATAACAGGATTAAAAGAACAATTGCAACCACAGCAGCTCGTGGGTAAAGAGTAAAGAGTAAAAGAAGATGGAATATTAGACATTGAGTCATCATGTGACCAGAAACAAATAACTGTTAGCTAATATTTTAGTACTGACCTATAGCGACCCTGCGCCTTCATAAGAGGACATTATATTTTAGGTTTGCTGCACCTTATACTTAATTCTGCTTAACTTAATTAACCTTTTGTTGTCATTCATGGACAGTTTTATGCAGCATCTAGTGGTAGCAAATGCAAAATACACTTATCCATGTAAAAACAAGATGGCGGCCATCTCTGCCAAGTCATTCTACAGCTGATCCAAACACAAAAGTGGACAAGTTACAAAACTCTATCACATTTTATTTAACTATATCAACAGGATTACTGAAATATACACGCCTGATTTGAATGAAGGCATCATAAGAAAATTACCTTTTCTTTTCTGTTATAAGAAAGCAACTTCTTTATCCCAAGATAGCGCAATAAAACAAAATTATTGTAACCACAGCCGCTTTCAGATCAGCTAGTTTTGGTCTCCACCAGCCTCTCAAATATATCTGTCTTTGTTTACTGTCTCTACCAGCTGGAGAGTTACTTCTGGGAACATTGTCTTCTGCCAAAGTGGGGTCAATGAAAGCAGCAGAGACTCAATTATATAGTAAGTGCTGTAAAACCAAAACAACCTGCTAAAAGAGGACATAAAACTCCACGGAGCCTTTAGAGTTGGCGATTTTTCTCTGTGGGTTCATCACTAAGAGCTACCCCTTTCACATTACATGCTAGCTGTTTGATTAGGGTTTAAAATACAGAGAGAGAGAGATTAATAGGCCAACTTTGGACTCTGATCAACTATTTTCAGTGCTTGAAATCATTTAATAAGTCAACTTAATGTTTCTAGTCATGCGGAACAAAAAAACAATTGTACAAGAGTGTGATGCTTTGTAAAATGTTGTTAAGGTTGATTAAATAAAAAAAAAAAACTTCAGTCAGTGAACTATAATGTGTGTGAAGCCGAGGCTGAACTGTTGACCAGCCAAGGAGGGGACTGACCCAGGGTCCCAGGCCCTCGAGTTTATCTGCTCCCCTGATTGCTTAGCAAATACTTTTAGGAACTGAGGTTACCTTGTTATTTTTGGCCATGTTAGCAGTGGATGGCAATGTCAGTCTTTCAGTCCAAAACTTTCATCCAAACTAAATTATTTCAAGAACTACTTGGACTGACTGGAAATTTGGTACACAAATCATGTCTTGACATAACTACATCCAGTGCCATCTTCAGGTTTAATTTTTAATTTGTCAAATACTTTCGTTTATCATCAAATACCATCAGAACTAAAGACATTCTCATCAGTCTCAGTTATACTTTGTTTTAGTGCTAAGTATCAAATTTTAGCATGCTAACACACTAAACTAATGGGTCCATGTCATTGGTCCGACAGCCAATTGGTCCGACATCCCATTAGTCCAATGGTCCGCGGTGCTGAACGGCTCCCGGAGGGCGTATTTCTACCTTGATGGTGTGCTGCGACCAGCTCTGGGTCAGCTGGGAAAGGCTTGAGGCAAAGCAGGCTCACGGTTTATGTGTTTGCCACTTTGTTTTTCATTTTAACCCACACCATGATCTTTTCCTGACCCTAACCAAGTGGTTTTTGTGCCTAAACCTAACCAGACCTTAACCACAGGGCATCATTTTGATTTCGGAACGGACTTCGGAACAATGGGTTTAATATGGTTGGAACAATGGGATGTCGCACCAATGGGCTGTCGGATCAATGGGCAGTTCCCAAACTAATATGGCCACTATGGTTAGCATACCTGCTAAACATCAGTCTGTTGATACTGTCACTGTCGCCATGTTAGCATGCTGATGTTAGCATTTAGCTCAAAGCACCGCTGTAATAGTAGCCTACAGCCTCATAGCTGCTAGTATGGCTGTAAACTCAAAGTCCCAATTTCACACTACCATACACTGTAATTGTATAAAGTACGTATATACCTATCTTTACACAGTGTTGGGCTTGACCAGTATTTTCCCAAACATTTGCCTGAAAGACAGAGAGTAAGTCATGGAGCAACATTTCATCCACAACATATCCACCCACAAGCTTCATTTGTTCTTTGTAGCTGCAGCTGCTCACAATTAAAATCCAGTTTTGGTTGTTTAGCCAGTGCAGGGCTACAGCCAACCTCTGTGGCTGACAGGGACTCACCTTTGGTGGGAGGTATTTCCTGAAGCTTCACGTTGTTGTGCTGTCGATCGTAGTTGCTTAAATGTTTCAGACCGGAGGTTTTAGGACATATTTTTTGCAGTGGAAAGAGTTTAGTCTGACTACTAGCAGCTACAGTGTTCTTGTCATCTTTCCTCAAGACAAAACTAAAGTAATGGGAATATTTCCAGGGACTAAGATAAGTTTTTACATCGTCAAAACTAGCTTGCTGTTTTTGACGTGCCTGCACAGTGCAGCGATTATGACAATGAGTCCACTGATGTGATGATGTGATTCATGTCTTTATAGTATACTTTTTTGTAGTTAACGCACAAGGAATCAACAGACTTTATTGTTTTATACTCACAGGAAATTGCACAATAAGTGCACCGTTAGACATCAATCAAAGAGTGACTTTAGAAAGTTGCTGCCAAATAAACCTCACAAAGAGTAAACAAAAATGTTTCCCCAAAGATTTGAAACGTTTTGGTTTGTTTTCCAAGATCTTTCTGAAGCTGTCTCACCACCATTTGCAATTTATTTAAAGTCTGTGCAACTTCTCCACACACATACACTTACAGCACACTTAAAAACCAAGCCCCTTTTTAGTGCTGTATATGCACACTGACAGCATAAACACTGGGATGCAACTCTTTCTGTTTATAACCAATCTAAATAGTTGTGTGGTGGGTTGGACAGGGGCCCATGGTTCATTTGAGCCCTGGGTCCTAGTAGCAGGTCAATCCGGCAGTGTCAGAATCTGACTGTCAACTGAGAAACTATCTGCCATTACATTCAGATAGGCTTTGTGTCAATACACAAACACACACAGCTGAAGCATGCACACACACACACACACACACACACACACACACACACACACACACACTTTTGATTGAGTACCAGTCTTCTGTCATCTGCTCCACTTCCTGTCCTAAATCTGACTGGCAGTGGCCCCTTTAGTCTAAATTAGCCTTGCATCAGGGACACACACACACATACACACACTTTTCCTGTCCTGAAATTATCCCTGCCTCATTAACCTTAAACAATGTTGACGTAAGACCATCACCACCATGACACAAATAGAGGTGAGGCCAGATAATTTGTGTAGCACCTTTAAACAACAAAGGGAACGGATATTAAAGTCAAATAGAAACAAAAAGAAAATATTTAAAAGATAAAATAATTTGAATGAAGCAACATAAAAGTGAGAATAAAATATGATGCTGTAGTTACAGTGCAGAGAAGACATGAATGAATAATACAGATATAGTTCAGTGAAAGCCAGTGTAAATCATTTAGCTCTATCTATGAGTGCTGAGTGTCTCCTGGGTCCGCGCGATCCCGGACTCTGCCTCCCACTGTCCCGCGCGCTGAGTGCACCTCCTGCACGCGACTGACTACATTATTATTACGATGTCAAACGACCTCTCTTGACTTGTCCGCTCGCACGCGCGCAGCCTCGCGGACTGGGATTACAACAACTGGAGTGGCGCGCGCACAACTCGCTCGTGTTTATGTAATGCCATATGTGACTGAGAGTGTGTGTCTATGTGTGTGCGTGCGCGCTGGAGCTGGCGCGAGCTGGTCCAGCACCGCGGCGGTGACAGCGGTCACACGTTGAGCATCAGCGACCCGTGCGTGATTTATCCTGCGGTTTGAGGGCTCGTGAGATTTCAGAGGGGGTGCGGATTTGACCCAGCATATAGGAGGGCGCTCGAGCTCCACCGTTTTCACGCACGGCACGCACGTAGACCCGGTGAAATCGTCA